ATATGTGAGGGCACGTTTACCCCTTGCTGCTTTCAGAATTTTCTCTTTATCCTTGTATTTTGCCAGTTTCACTATGATATGTCGTGCAGAAGATCGATTCAAGTTACGTCTGAAGGGAGTTCTCTGTGCCTCTTGGATTTCAATGCCTTTTTCCTTCCCCACTTCAGGGAAGTTCTCAGCTATTATTTCCTCAAGTACCCCTTCAGCACCTTTCCCTCTTTCTTCCTCCTCTGGGATACCAAGTATGCGTATATTATTTCTTTTTAGTGTATCACTTAATTTTGTAATTTCCCCCTCATACTCTTGGATTTTTTTTATCTCTTTTTCTCAGCTTCCTCTTTTTCCATAACTTTATCTTCTAGTTCACCTATTCTCTCCTCTGCCTCTTCAATCCGAGCCGTGGTGGTTTCCATTTTGTTATGCATTTCGTTGAAAGCGTTTTTCAGCTCCTCGTGACTGTTCCTTAGTCCCTTGATCTCTGTATCAAGAGATTCTCTGCTGTCAGCTATACTGTTTTCAATCCCAGCGATTAATTTTGTGACTATTATTCTAAATTCACTTTCTGTTGTATTATTTAAATCCTTTTTGATCAGCTAATTAGCTGTTGTTATTTCCTGGAGATTCTTCTGAGGGGAATTCTTCCGCTTGGTCATTTTGGATAGTCCCTGCCGTGGTGAGGACCGGCAGGGAACTTCCCCTGTGCTGTGGTGTATAGCTGGAGTGGTGGGCGGAGCCACAGTCAGACCTGATGTGTGCCCCCAGCCCACCACTGGGGCCACAGTCATAACGGTGCGTGCCTTCTCTTCCCCTCTCCTAGGGGCGGGATTCACTGTGGGGTGGGGTGGCCAGTCTGGGCTACTTGCACACTGCCAGGCTTGTGATGCTGGGGATCTGGCGTCTTAGCTGGGGTGGGTAGGCAAGGTGTACAGGGGCAGGAGGGGCAGGTTTAGCTTGCTTCTCCTCAGGTGATCCACTTCAGGAGGGGCCCTGTGGCAGCAGGAGGGAGTCAGATCCGCTGCTGGAGGTTTGGCTCCGCAGAAGCTCAGAGTTGGGTGTTTGAGCTGAGCCAGCAAGTCCCTGGCAGGAACTGGTTCTCTATGGGATTTTGGCTGTGGGATGGGCGGGGGAGATGGCGCTGGCGAGCGCCTTTGTTCCCCACCTAACTGAGCTCTGTCGTCCGGGGGCTCAGCAGCTCTCCTTCCCCTTGTCCTCCAGCCTTCCCACTTTCTGAGCAGAGCTGTTAACTTATGACCTCCCAGAGGCTAAGTCGTGCTTGCTGTGGGAACACAGTCCATCAGGCCCCTTCGCTTTTTGCAAGCCAGACTTTGGGGCTCTGCTTGGCCTGCAAGCCGCCCCTCCGCCCCGGCTCCCTCCCGCCAGTCCTTGGAGCGCGCACCGCCTCACCGCCCTTCCTACCCTCTTGTGTGGACCTCTCATCTGCACTTGGCTCCGGCGACTCCGTTCTGCTAATCCTCTGGTGGTTTTCTGGGTTATTTAGGCAGGTGTAGATGGAATCTAAGTGATCAGCAGGACGCGAGGTGAGCGCAGCGTCCTCCTACGCCGCCATCTTCCCTCTCTCAGTAAATGAAATTAAAGGTATCATCATTTGCAAAGATGAAGTCAAACTTCCACTTTTTGCAGATGGAATGACACTAAACATGAAAAATCTGACAGACTCCATGAAAAGACCTCTAGCACTGATACATGAATTTAGCAATGTTGCAGGGTACAAAATCAATGTACAGAAATTGGTTCCGTTTTATACACCAATAATGAAGCAACAGAAAGAGAAATAAAGAAACGGATCCCATTTACAATGCACCAAGAGTCACAAAATACTTAGGATTAAAGCTAACCATAGCGGTAAAAGATCTGTATGCTGAAAACTATAGAAGGCTTGTGAAGGAAATTGAAGAAGATACAGAAAGCAAAAAACATTCCATGCTCGTGGATTAGAAGAATAAATATTGGCGTAAAGTCAATATGACCCAACACAGTCCTCACATTATATGCAGCACCAATCACATTGCATCAGCACTCTTCTCCAAGCTGGAAAAAACAATCATAAAATATGTATGGAAACGCAAAAGACCCTGAATAGCCAAAGCAATACTGAAGAAGAAAACCAAAATGAGAGGCACCACAATGCCAGACTTTATCCTCTACCACCAAGTTATAAACATCTAGACAGCATGGTATTGGCTCAGAAACAAATACATAGATTTAATGGCATAGTTTAGAGACCTCAGAATTGGACCCACATACGTATGACCAACTAATCTTTGACAAAGCAGGAAAGAATATCCAATGGAAAAAAGACAGTCACTTTAACAAATGGTGCTAAGAGAAATGAACATCAACATGCAGAAGAATGAAACTAGACAAATTTCTTATACCACTCACAAAAATAAACTCACAATCGACGAATGACGTGAATGTGAGACAGGAAACCATTAAACCCTGGAGGAGAAAGCAGGAAACATCCTCTTTGAACTAAGTGTCAGCAATTTCTTAGCTGACACACCTCCAAAGGCAAGGGAATTAAAAGCAAAATGAACTATTGCGATCTCATCAAAATAAAAATCTTCTCCACAATGAAGGATACAATCAACAAACTAAAAGGCAAGGGGCCGAGTGGGAAAAGATGTGTGCAAAAGTCACACTGAAGAATTGGCTAGTATCCTAAACCTGTAAAAAGAACTCACCAACTCCACACCTGGAAAACAAATAATCCAGTGACGAAATGGGCAGAAGGCTTGAACAGACACTGTTCTAAAAAAGACATCCAGATTGTCAAGAGACACATGAAAGGATGCTCAACAGCACTCCTCGTCAGGGAAACGCAAAGCAAAACTGCACTGAGATACCACCTCATGCCAGTCAGAGTGGCTACAATGATCCAATTAGAAGACTATAGATGCTGGTGAGGATGTGGAGAAACAGGAACCCTCTTGCACTGTTGGTGGGAATGCATCCGGGTGCAGCCGCTCTGGAAAACAGTGTGGAGGTTCCTCAAATCATTAAAAATAGATCTACCCTAAGACCCAGCAATGGCACTGCTAGGAATTTACACAAGGGGTACAAGAGTGCTGAGACATAGGGGCGCATGTACCCCAATTTTTATAGCACTACTTTCAACAACAGCCAAACTATGGAAAGAGCCTAGCTGTCTATCAACTGACAAGTGGATAAAGAAGTTGTGGTTGATGTATACCATGGAATACTACTTGGCAATGAGAAAGAATGAAAGCTGGCCATTTGTAGCAACGTGGATGGAACTGGGGGGTATTATGCTACGTGAAATAAGTCAGGAGGTGAAAGACAGATACCATATGTTTTCATCCACGTGTGGATCCTGAGAAACTTAGCAGAAGACCATGGGGGAGGTGATGCGGGGAAACAGTTATAGAGAGGGAGGGAGGCAAACCATAAGAGACTCTTCAATACTGATAACAGACTGAGGGTTGACGACGTGTTGGGGAGAGGGAAAAGTGGGTGACGGGTATTGAGGTGGGCACCTGTTGGGATGCACACTGGGTGTTGCGTGGAAACCAATTTGAAAATAAATGACATTTAATGAAAAAGCATATCCAGGGGTTGCTCTTACTGAATATGAGGATAGCTTTCCATTTTCAGCACTTTCAGAACGTGAGGTAGTACTGGCTTAAGCTGCCTAGATGAAAGTTTGGTTTGTGTGTTTAAGAAAAGGAGTTGAGTAAAGACAGAGGCCTCTCACATATATCACGTTGACCTTGGCAAGTGTCTCTTCTGATTGTTACCATGACTTATCCCTTTTATTGATTCACAATAGTTTGGTGTCATCCTTTCCTGAGGAAGTGGATTTCAATTGATCATGGTAGGTGGTCCTTGTAATATTTTGTGAATTATTTGTGTATGTGGTGATGATGGATGGACCATGCTGGTTGCTTTCAAAAGCACTTACACGGACGGTGTAACACGTTTTCTACCCTTGGAATCCCATTCGGTCTATTACTACCTTGTGTATGAATTACCTGAAATATTATGAATTGGTAGGTACCGAATAGGTTTTAGTGGCACTGAATGCCCTCATGGCCACTCACGCAGAATTCGTTGACGCTTTGCTCTTAAGCACACAATGACTCGGTCTTCCGTGAGCTGCGTGAAAGTGAGCATGCATACTAACTAGGCAAACTGTTTGCTGCTGCTGTGAAGAACAGCTTCCTGAACTGCGAGCTATAGCAACACACATATGGAACCCTAAGCAAGGCACAGTATATGTGTATTCTTTGAAAGAGTAGAGTAGTTACTTCAATTTGGCTTTCAGTGCGTTGCATGACAAGGCATTTAATTCGCTAAAACCCTCTTACAGTCATGTTTGATTGCAAGTTGTGTGTACTCTCCACCGCGAAGTGACATCTCATGTGAGATGGATTTAATGGAGGCTGAGGCACCAGTGCATTCACGTCGAGGACAACCCTCTTGAACTCGTCAAGAACTATGGGCCTTCTCAGGTAGGATTATGTGCAGGTGTTTCTCAAGGGCATAAACTTAAACACAGCCCAACCTAAGGCAGCTTTGGGCAGCCTGCAGTGATAGGATAAGCAGACACTGTGACCTCACAAAGCGCCTGGTCTCCTAGCAACTGTGGTGTAACTCTCAACAGCCTGCCTTCTGATTTGGCTTCCTGGTAGGAAATTCATCAGGGCCCGGCGGCGGCAGCGAGACCTGGCAAGCGCGGGCGGCCCCTAGCGCCCTCACCTCCTGAGCCACATGAAGAGGCGGCGGCACAGGCCCCGGGAGGCCCTGGCCCCGGCCACCTGTGGAGGAGCCTCTAGCGCTGCAGTAAGGGCCGCGCTGGAGGCGCCTGAGGAGAAGGTGGTGTACATGCTGGGGCACCAGCCCTCCGAGGCCCGCGTCCGGACGCGCCGGCCAGCTGCCAGGAGGAGGCGCCACGAAGCCCGGACGGTCGCGGTCGGCCAGAGGAAGGTGCCGCCCCCGCCGCCGCTGTCCCGCGAGGACAGCAGCCTCCGCAAGCCCGCGGCCCCCGGGCCCTGCTCCGGGGGCCGCACCCTGGAGGAGAGTGGGAGGGCGGCCACCCCGACGCTGACCACCTTGCCCACCATCCGAGTAGTCGGCGACGTGTGGGTCGAGAGCAGCCTGGCAGAAGCGCAGCGCCAAGCGTGCCAAGTCCTGGGAGTGAACCTGGCACCCGTGGTGAGACTCTGCCACTTCCCATTGCCTGGGCGTGAGATGCGGGCTACCGCTGCGCGACCTCTCAGCCCCAGGACGGGTTGTGCCTGGAGGGATGAACCAGTGAGAGCCGGGCCCGCGTTCCCTAGTGCACTCTACGGGCGAAGAAGCACCAGACGGTCCTGGCCTGCGCCTCCGGGATGCAGCGCCGCCTTCTGGGACTCTGGGGAGGCTGTGCCCTCTGCTGCCTCCCAGCCCCGGGTCTGTGGAGGGAGGAGACCCCTGGACCGCAAGGGAGGTCCCCCTTTCTTCCTAACCCCATATTGAGAGGTCTCCAGCACTTTAGGGGCAGATCCATGATCTCTCTTGTTCCCTAATTGC